TTACGGTTACTTGCAACTGCAACAATGCTATGCACATTCCCAACGATCCAACTAACCAACTGTCGCTGTTGATCGTGTCTCCCACAATCGAAAAGTGCCCAAGTGGCAGAGTGGCACTGTGGCATTGTGGCTACAGCGTGGCAGCGTCGTAGCGTGGAATCTGCGCATGACACAGAAATCGCAGGCACTCGCTTGCAAATACTCGATCAGTTGCTTGGACGGACGCAGCTTTGGACGTGCAGTCGACCGACAGCCACTTAACGATAGTGTGCGAATGGCGAGAGGGCGCGAGCGAGAGCAGGAGCGAATGTGAGCGCGAGTGGCGGAGTGGCGGAGTGGCGGAGTGGCGGAGTGTGTGCATGACTGACTGATCGCCTGAAGTTTATGGACTCATCGCAGCAATTCAAATACAATAGCAGTTTCACAGCTACGGCTGCTCCTTCGTTCCCACCTTTGCCAGCCCTGCACTCTGTGCAGCCTCAGCTTTGGCATGCATATATTTGGTCGTATCTACAACGTGCAACGTTGCTTACACAATTGCGAAAGCATTTTCATTGCTCCTAACAATTTTTTCACTGTTTTTGATACTTTCCTACATACTTACTTACACACACACAGTTGGGCTGCACTTTTTCTCGCTTTTCTGAATCTACACACCTTGGCTGCAATTTAGCTGGGCCATGCTGATGCGAGACGGAGCACGGTTGGCTTTCGCAATGCTTTTTTTCTGATCTGTCTCATTGCTGTTGCCGTTGCCGTTACCAGTGTTTTTGTTACTGGCTCCTATCGTTTGCTGACGACGGTGAGCGTAAGCAGCTTTTGCGCTTGTAAATAAGCGGCGTAAACGAGTGTTGTATTAATGTTCATAAAGTGGTATCTTGACGTCAATAAACGTCGCCGACCAACAGTCCAGCGGTCAGAGTCAGACGAGTTGCGACGATGGACAGGACTTTGTCACATCCAGCGACTGTCAATAGACAAACACAGGGCTTGTGGCATCGTCGCAGGGTGGCTGAGAAGTTACCACTGATCTATGCGTTTAACAGGGAGTGATACATATTGATCGTTTGCTGGAAGAACATCATAACTAAAAAAAATCAAAATATGAGAAAAACGGCTATACGTTTCTAGCCAGGTTTTTTGACCTTTTCACCAAAAGTAAATAATAGTTAAAAAAAAATAATAATACAAAGGAAAAAATCTGGTTAAAGTTTTCATTGGTTTCCCACTTTCATCAAAAATGGGTTGTATTCTGGTTATAATAAATACATACAAATCTATATGTAGTAAGGTAAATTGTTTAATTTAAATTTTTTACNTGACGACGGTGAGCGTAAGCAGCTTTTGCGCTTGTAAATAAGCGGCGTAAACGAGTGTTGTATTAATGTTCATAAAGTGGTATCTTGACGTCAATAAACGTCGCCGACCAACAGTCCAGCGGTCAGAGTCAGACGAGTTGCGACGATGGACAGGACTTTGTCACATCCAGCGACTGTCAATAGACAAACACAGGGCTTGTGGCATCGTCGCAGGGTGGCTGAGAAGTTACCACTGATCTATGCGTTTAACAGGGAGTGATACATATTGATCGTTTGCTGGAAGAACATCATAACTAAAAAAATAAAAATACGAGAAAAATGGCTATATGTTTCTAGCCAGATTTTTTGACCTTTTCACCAAAAGTCAATAATAGTTAAAAAAAGTAATAATACAAAGGAAAAAATCTGGTTAAAGTTTTCATTGGTTTCCCACTTTGATCAAAAATGGGTTGTATTCTGGTTATAATAAATACATACAAATCTATATGTAGTAAGGTAAATTGTTTAATTTAAATTTTTTACGCAACATAAATATTGTCTTTGAATTATGATGTTCTTCCAGCAAACGAGCGAAATGTAATAGATGTAAGACGCAAAGTCAAGACGACTATATCACACCCATTCTTCAAAGGTGCATTTACTCAAAATATGGGATTTGGCAGAATATGCAAAAAATTATGAGAAACTAGTTTTTCAAAAAATTTCCAGAAAATATTTTTCTATCATTTGCTCGGAGGAAAATACATATGTACATATCGAGGGCTTACTGAATTACCCTCGATCTGCACCTTTCGCAAAAATTAGATTCTGATATAAAAATCCACCTAAGACTTAACTCTCATCGGTGATATCAATGCTGACCTTGTTTGACGCTTGACACAATAATTTACTATAGAATTGCAAAGTCAGAATTAACATCAGGGATGACAGGTGAGTCCCAGATGGGTTCTAACATCATAAAGTATTTTTTTTTGAAAATTGCAGATACCCTCTGTATTCAATATAAGCCCTCGATATAACTTAAATATATGCATTGAAAACAAATGACCGAGTTGTTGCAGCACATTTGCATAGAATGTGTGTGTGTGACCAATGTTAAATAGTGGAAACTTTCCATTTAGCCTATTATTAAGGATAGTAAAGATAAGACTTAACAAGAATCAAGAATTGTCTTGGGGCAATTTAAATCTAATCTCTCTACAAAACAGTACAGAGAAACCTTGACTCAAGTCGACAAATATATACAATGTTCCTCTTCTAATACATATTTCAAAGCGTCGGTATCCATAATTTATATAAAAAAAAAAAGTGTTTCTATAATGGTCAAGGTTTTTATGCCGATCTTTTNGATCAAAAATGGGTTGTATTCTGGTTATAATAAATACATACAAATCTATATGTAGTAAGGTAAATTGTTTAATTTAAATTTTTTACGCAACATAAATATTGTCTTTGAATTATGATGTTCTTCCAGCAAACGAGCGAAATGTAATAGATGTAAGACGCAAAGTCAAGACGACTATATCACACCCATTCTTCAAAGGTGCATTTACTCAAAATATGGGATTTGGCAGAATATGCAAAAAATTATGAGAAACTAGTTTTTCAAAAAATTTCCAGAAAATATTTTTCTATCATTTGCTCGGAGGAAAATACATATGTACATATCGAGGGCTTACTGAATTACCCTCGATCTGCACCTTTCGCAAAAATTAGATTCTGATATAAAAATCCACCTAAGACTTAACTCTCATCGGTGATATCAATGCTGACCTTGTTTGACGCTTGACACAATAATTTACTATAGAATTGCAAAGTCAGAATTAACATCAGGGATGACAGGTGAGTCCCAGATGGGTTCTAACATCATAAAGTATTTTTTTTTGAAAATTGCAGATACCCTCTGTATTCAATATAAGCCCTCGATATAACNTATGTCGACATGGTTTATTTTGTGAGAGTCAACAATTTTTTGTAATTTTGAAATTGAAATGGGCGTAGCAATTGTGGGTCTAAAGTCAGCAAAACGTAGATTTTATTGCGGACTTCGGCAGAATATCTCTTCGTTAACAGAATCACGAAAAAACCAAACTTTGACAGATCATAATTTAATTTAATACATATATGGACTCATAAAAAAAATTTGAAGCGAATCAAAAATATATATTATATAATTTTTTTTTACGAAATCCGTCCGACTTAAAAAAGAATGGCTCATACATATATGTGTGTGTATATATCAACGGCTATAATTTCTCATAGAATATATCGTAATAAAAATTAAGGTTATAAAATAATATTTTACACTTTATCGTAACTTAGAGTAATAAAATTAAAATGTAAAATATTTCCATAAAAATATAAGTGCACATTTTTATGAAAAAATCATAATTTTTTAAAATGAAATTTCACTTAAAATAAAGAATAATTTATTTTAAAGGATTATAGAAATAAGAAAATATAAAATGAAATGTGCCTGTCCACTGTCGGTCCAATAGCTGCTTCTCTGCCATCACCGGGCCTTTGAAATGATGCGGTTAGTTTGTAGTTCAGTGCTATCTGAGACCAATAAAATCCTGCTGTTAGTTGTGAGTGTGAGAGTGCATATGTTTGTGTGTGGGTGCATGGGTGTTGGGGTCATATTAAATGAATTTCGTGGTCATGAAAAAAAGAAAATATATTAGTAAAAAAATTAAAATTGTTGAGTTGATGAAACTAACCGAAGCGAAAAACGCCAACTACATTCGCACATAAATGCCTCTGTACAAATGTACATTAGTAGATTAAATACGAAAAAAGCTTTTAGCAAATGAATAATTGTTATGTTCTTACCGATAATAATGAAAATTAAGCAAATCTGTTAATAGACTACTTGGCAAGTACTGAGCTAATGTTCTNCCGATAATAATGAAAATTAAGCAAATCTGTTAATAGACTACTTGGCAAGTTAGGCAATGGGTGTTAGTGTTGTTATTATTGCAATAATTTCTACATTTCTACTTTGAAATCAAAACACAATTATGTAATTATGTAGAATGTAAGTATAAAAGATGTAAGCGCTTCTGAAAAAAACCATGTTACAACTTTCCGGCTGAGATGGGGGGCTCCGACTAGCGGCTGCATAGCTTTCGCAGACATGATAAGCACCAAAAGAGTTTTATTGCTTTGACAAAGTTAAGAACGGTTTTGGCACAAGAAATTATTCGAGATGCCCCCAAATTCTTCATTAAGAAATCTTTGACTTGTTTTGGGATGAAAATTCTCAATCATGGCTATAACTTGACCAAATTTGTATCTGATTTCAGAGACCTTATCGCAGAAGTTTTTATTCAACACGAATGGGGATATATTATGTTCTAGAATATATATATATAGGTACAGGAGATGTTGATAGTCTTGAATAAGAGCATACATATAGAACACTCAGCAAAAGTGTTGATTGAAGTACTCAGATGAAAAAGATAGACTTGAAATTTTCACAATCAAGGGCTGCATTGAGATATAGCAATCCTTTTGTCGGTACTACCATCCGCTACAACTTGAAAAAAGAGGAAAATCTAAACAGTGTCTTTCTGAAATTTTAACACATTCTCAGCCGGGTTGCAAATCTCTATAAGATTAAATAACATAGATATTGATAATATAAAAGAGATATATGTAAATATGTTTTTTTGCGAAGTATATAAAATTAGTGTTTACTTAACCTTTAAAAGATTTATGTTTCTTATCATTTACGCTAAGCAAAAACGTCTTCCCTTTTTCTCAGTAAAATTTTTAAACTTTTAACCGAATGAATTTTAAGTTTTTATTGACTTTTACTTTGGATGAAATTAAGTTGAGTCAATAAAAAGCAAAGTTGAATAGGAACCAACTTCAAGGCTTTGTGAGAAAATTTCCATTCATTGCAATACACAACTTATTGCACTGGGCTGTACTTAATTTCCTCACAAGCATAATAATTATAAATAATTAAAAAAGCGCAAGCTTTAAAAAAATTTAAAGTGTTTTTTTTTTTTTTTTGAAGAAGATCTTTCTGATTTAGCAAATGCAAAATACAAAATTCAAATGATTTAATTTTTCAAGCAACAATGCGTATATTTTTTTTAATTTCCTTTATATTTTCTTCCTCCTTCTTATTTCAATGTTCAACTTTGTACCCAACTACTATTTAAGTATTTAGAATAAATTACACTTACACTTAAAAGAATAAATAAATAATTTAGTTAGCACTTATGGGTTCTATAACTAAGTCGATACGCTAATTTGTCGAGTTTTTAGGCACACTAAGAGTAGCTATTCCATATCGTTATATGTAAGTAAATATAGATAATGCACACTTGAACAAACAAACTTGTACATACATACTAGTTTTACATACATATGCACATATCAGTAGTACATATGTACATACATACATACATACGTATCAATTCAATTGCGTCCATTTAAATTAGTTGATTGCAACGTCTAAAAAGCTATTGAACTAATCAATTACACAATACAACGTTCGATTCCTAAACTAAGTATTTAATTACAGTTTTTTTGTGTGGTTTTTTATTACAAAAGCGCGGCTGCGTATTAAAACCTACGAGCACAGCTTAGATGTACTAGACTAGACTAAACACTATCTATTTGGACCTATGGCTAAGGCGGCTCTACCAACTCTCAACAACAAGTCGCTAGGTTTGCACCTCTACTCGATGCTTAAGTACTTCGAACTACAATTGCCACCTACTGCCGAAGCTGTAAGGCGAGTATCTATAGCTGGGACTACCGAACGAAGCGCCACTACTCACACCGAACGGTGTGCTATGGTGGAACATATCAAAGGCCGAACCGAAGGCAGAGCGCGGCGGTGTCTGATAGAACATGGCCGCTGTGGCGGCGGCTGCTGCCGCGGCCTGTTGCTGATCTTGCGCCGCCTGCGACTGCGAATGTGAATTGTATTGTTGTTGCGCGGAGGTAAGATGCGGCGATTGATATGTTCCGCCATGATTACTACCTGCGGTACCTGAAGAGGCAGCAGCGGCGGTGGCAGTGGTTTGGTTTGCGCTATTACTCAATGGCGAAGCGGTTAGGCTGTTAAACAGAGACGAACCGATTTGCGATTGAGTATTTATGGAAGCGCCCAGACCACTACTATTATTGTGACTTGAATTCGAAGTAGACGTGGTTGTAGTGGAGGTGGTTGGCGCCGCGCTGGCGCTGGCATATAGCGCAGCCAACAAATCGTCAGTGCTGGTCAGGTGTGCGGCGGTCTTGTGACTGGGCGCACATGAGCTGAAAGCACTGGTCGCCGAGTGCACTAGACCGTTCGCTGAACTGGTGGCCAGTTGCTGAGATGTTGGCTTGTGATCATCACTGACTTGACAGTGTTCGGTGGCTCCCGTGTTTCCGGAGTTTTGCTCTGAAGATGGGGTCGTCGTTGCTGCCGAGGGCGTATGCGCCGCATGCTCGGAGGCGAGGAAGGCATTTTGGGTGGCCGCTTCCACACCAGCAACACTCTTCATGAAGGCGGCCAGGTGGAAAGCGGCCGCCGAAGCGTGTTGCTGCGACTCTGATTCGACACGATTTAGATCGTCGAGATGGTCGCGCACCACCAACAGCACTTGCTCGTGCAGTAGCTCTGAGCTGCCAATATTCGCCACCGAGCCGGCGGTCGTCCCTGCCGTCACCGTCGAACTATCCGAATTCGCGCTGGTGTGAGTGCTGGCCGAGGAGGCCAACGCACACACTTGAGCTGAAACTTTGGTTAGCAGCGCCGGCACATCCTTATAGAGGATGTCCAGCAACTTACCGGTGGTGAAGAGCACGATCGCCTTGAGACAGGAATATTCCGCTGAGTCGACGTGCAGCGCCTTCAGTTTTTCCACCTGCTCCTGGAAGATACGTATGTGGTCCATGAACGCAACCACGCGATCCGCCGCCATCGGCGAGGCGTGCAGGCCAGCGGCAGCCAGCAGTGGCGCAACATGCAGCGGCATCGAACATTGGCTCGCATTCAACACGAATAACTCCGACCAGACTAGACGCAGCAGCGCCACTTGATCCGTCACTTGCAGTTCGGGGAAGAACGGTATATTCTTGGCCCACTCGACGGCAGAAAATAGCAAGCGGGCGGCCAATTCGCAGATGTTGTCGATACCCATTATGTTGTTCGGCTGCATGCATTGACCGTAGCGGGACGTTGGGTAGGGTTCGGCACGCAGGAGCAGCGAAATGTAGGAACTGAGATAGGAGTGACCGTTGAAGCCGGCGACGGCCATGGGGTCGCCATTCGCGAGCTGGTACTGACCGTGCATGCCGGCCAAACCGGGTTGAGTGGGTGGCACACGACCGCGCTGAACAGCTGAAAAGAGAGAAGAAGAGAGAAAGATAAAAATCATTAATTTGAGCGTAAAGGCGGGGAGCTAGAACTAGGTGAGATATAGTAAAAGGTAGACAGACAACTGCCTGCGGCACAGCTGGTAACCTAATACCTTATTTAAATATCTAATTTTCAAATTTTCAAATACGAACAATTACAACAAAACTATTATTTTGACCACGACATCACACGCTGAACAATGCGGCTGCCAGATAACGCAGTAGATACGCATTCAGAGTGTGTCATGTTTTCGGGCGCGGGCATATGCGCTAGCGACGACAATGCTGAGACGTTTACAAAACATAAACCCCTAAACTAGCAGCCGAGACAAAGAGGTATCAGCAACCTCAATCTGAGCCATTGTTCTGCGAAGCTTGGGCAAGCCGACAGCGATGGCAGAGCGATGCCGAGGAAACGGCCAGACAAAAGATACGATTTCTAAGATTTAGCAAGAACAAGAGCGAAACCAAGGGAAGTGGCGCATTGTCACCCCTTGTTAGGCAGAGTGGTGTTTGCTCGGCAGAGATACTTTTCAGTAGAGTGCAGACAGACGCTGCGTCATTAAGCATAATACCTTGAAAGTTTTGAAAACGTAAAAGACGTTAGAGCACTCGGCGTGCATGCGAACCCGAGTGGGGAGAGGCGGCGATGAGGTTAAGAAGCAACCCTTCGATGCGTTTGCTTACGCAGTTAAACAACGTGCCAGCGTGCCAGCGTTTGAGTCGACAGTCGTCTGAGTGCTTGTATGTAAATTTTGTAAAATATATTTTCAACACATTCGCCAAGTAAATTTACAACACAAATTTGCATTGCTATTTTGAGTGCTGAGTGAATTTACTTTTAATTAAAATTCACAATTTACAAACGATAATATGCACGCACACACACACTCACGTCATGGCAGTGTTTGTTTCCATGCACATGGCAACTTTGATGGGCGCAGTGCTGGGCGCGGCGGTCGAAGTCGCACAAGAGATCGCAAGTAATCATCGAAACACGTGAAACCTTCATGGAAACTTTTTGCATAAAGTCAATCGACATATCCAAGTGTGCACGTAGGTTTGTTGTATTTACGTCAGCGGGTATTTGGAGCTCTAACTTTCTTCCTTCTTCAGCTGTGTGGCAAACGGTGAATAATCTTCATTTATAAAAATAAACTCTTCAATATTACTTATCCAAACAGCAGTTCTTTAATCTTCTTTTGCATTCATGGCTTGCCGAAAAATATCCAACGGACGCAAGATATTTCTACGGCTGCTAGTAACTTCATTTCCTTTTCCTTTTCCTTGTTTTGTATTGCATCTGTATTCGAATGCTTCTTGGTATCTCAAAGGAAATTTCTTAATCCATTTAAGTCCATTTGATAGGTGGAATTTTTCAGGACATCATTCACAAGGTCCCTTACATGGTGATCCTGAGCCTAGAAGCGATGAAATTTATTTGAAGCCAGTGGAGTGTGTTTAGCAGAAGCACTGAAAACAATTCCAACGGCTGCACTAGAAAATATCCTCAATGTATGTACCACCTATCGATCTTGCGGCAAAAAGCCTTACGGCTAAGTACGCGGGCGTGTGATTGCAACAGGGAAGCTCAAGCAGAGAAACACAGGCCGATGCTCAATAGTCAAGGACAGACTACATGGCACCTTGATATAACTAGTGTACGGGGTTTCAGGTAAAGACTAGTATTTCACTATGTCATATTTTGACGCCAAAATTTGGCGACATATTTTGACACAACTTTATCTTCTTTATCCATACCTTTACCGATGATATTATGGGCCAAAAACAGACAGAGAGCTGATTTAGCAACGCATGTACACGACTAAAGACCTATCCTGATCCAAATCAGTCGACAAACAGCTTTTTAGTCCCATTTGACAATGTCTTTTCACTTATTTCACGACAAATGCCACTGAATTTGACATGGTGAAAATCAGCCTTTACTATCGGATGGCGTAGAGGCATAAAACTTAGCCGGAAGACATTTAACTTCTTCACAGATGGCTGAAAACTGAAAGATGAAGTAGGCGCGGAAGTATACTTAATATTTGTCAGCCCATTAAGCTGCCGGATCCCTGCAGTATGGTCCAGGTAGAGGTTTTCGCAGTGGGAAAAGCTACTGAGCTAGCCTACTCAATGATTGGGAATACATAACTCTACAGTTAACATATATGTACGTACATAGATAGCAGCGATTAAGGCTGTTAGCTCATACCAATTTACGTCACAAAATGCCCACAGAAACAGTGAGGTCATAAATAAGGCAGCAGCAAATAGGCCACTGCATATTTATTGACTTCCCGGTAGCGAAACTGTAGTTGAGATTGTCAGGAGCAGAATTCACTTAAAAAACCTCTAAAAAATCTATAACACGACATCTGCCAGAGGCTGAAAAAGCAGGCTTATCGATATGGAATTCGTTTAAAACCTGTAAAATCTCCAAAGTCATGTGTAGACTAGAAAACAGAATACAAATGCGGTGTATAGTATCGCTGCCACGAAGAGATAGGTGGTGTTGGCAGCGCACGCCAGCAAATTAAATTCGCAGGAAAGGCATGGGAACACATTAAATGCCTTTGTGCAACTGTATCAAAAACACGATTGAAATATTTTGGAGCTTCAGTGTTTAATAATCTTGAAGACGTGACAACACTTGGCCCCAGTGCTTTTGAAATTCTCCAAAAGCGTTGTCATCCTAAATGATGTCTATTTCGCATATAAGTACACAACTAAAATGTCTATCTCCATCTGGCATCACTATTAAAGGCTCAATATTTGGATATCCAGAACCGACTATTGTTAATAGTCTAGCAGAGTCGGGATGAATTTTGAACCAGGCTACGATGGCCGATCGATCATTTATCTCACAAAGTAATAATTTCCGGTTTGAGCACCGTAGCTAAAGTTGAATTTAGTGCAGTTTTCTCAAGCAGGTTTTAAAATGTATATGCTTTTCAAATACCTAAAATTTGGAGAAAAAATTTGTCTTTAAAGGGCGGATAAATTTTAAAACGTACTTCAGAAAACGGTCCTCAGTGTAAAAAAAAAGAATATTAGCAAAAGTGCCTAAGAAGAAAACTTTGTTAAAGCAGCTAATAAAAAGTGTTTATTGAAAAAGCTAGGACTCATCAAGGTAGTTTGAGGATGAGTGAAACAGGCACAACTACACCATTCTTATGTTCGAGGGCACCTTGCCCCGGGAAATAGCGCCAAGTAACGCTTATGGCAACTTTGTATGTGTATGAATGTGTGGCAATTTTTTTTTATAATTTATTAGGCGGGGGCGATTTTTATGATTTTATGCTCTTTGGAAAGCTAAAACACTGAAATGCAAGCATATTTGATTAGATATGTCTGAAAAAAGGGCGATATCGATCAAAATCACCTTTCCGAGAAAAAGGCTTTTAAAGTTTCTATATAATATCTTTATTTTTGAGTCTAAACAAAAATAGCCAGAGTGATTTTTGGCTTAAATTGGTCTATATAGTATATTTTCAATGAAAAAGAAATCAATAGAAAAAAATTTGATTTGTTTAAACAATTGCAATATTTTTCACTAGGAATTAATCGCATTGCTTCTTTAACACCTCAAACTATGAGAGACCGCCATTAACCGAATTTCGATTTTTGATCTGTATCATCCTTTTCTCAGACGCGGTTACATATCGTCCTGGTTTTGCGTTAACCTCATATCTGCAAAAGAGTCAGTCTAGAATATGTTACAAAAAAATGCTCATTTTCTTCCGCTAGGATACAATAAACACATTTTTTAATTAAAATTTCTGGTTCTACTATGTGACAGGTAACAAAGTCAACGGAAATAAGGTCAATTGACACTATTTCGCATACTGGTGGGAAATAAAGTCAATTGGCATTATTACCTGTGAATGAGCAATTATAATTTTTCCACATTTCACGGGATGTGAGCCGCTTCTAAAGTTTTTATATTCGTCTAAAACTCTTTTCGTATATTTCCAGAGGGTAATACCAAGAATTTTAACAAATTTCCAAATAAGTTCTACTCTAATGTGCATACATTCATACATATGTAAGTAAGTGTTCACACACGTATGCAGAATGAATGCATTTATAAACTTTATACGCACCCACAATTCAAGTGAAGTAATATGCGGACTATTATCATTTGTAGAAATCTGCGAAAAATGGGCAGAAATGCGAGGAAATAAATAAAGCGGAGAACAATGGTGCCTGAGGTGTCTGTGGGAAGATTAGGAAATCCAAAGAAGATTAAAGCAATAGAGGCACTCGTTCTTACATACATATCTATGTACATATGCAAGGTAAGTGAAAACTGTTTTACTATTTGCATTTTACTTTTTATTTATGTAATTGATTTGCCAATGTTTACTTTTCCATATTGCACGCGATCGTACGCATTACTCACGAGTGAGCGCAAATTTTGAGTTAATTTTTTGTTCGAACTGCAACGATCTCCACTCGTTGAAACAGTCACTCATTTCCTGCAGCGTCATTTAGTTTCTTGATCTGCATATTTTTGCTCTCTTTCCGATATTTAAGTAATTTTTCTTGAAACTTTTGGTGAATCTAGCGGCGGCACATGCGGCTCTAGCTGAGCAGTGGTCAGTGCCGCGCTGGTCACTTTCGGCCCCTTCATGAGCCGTTTGCTTTTATTTATGGCAATTAAAAATTGTCTTTGCAAATGTCTGTTCATCTAAGGGTGGACGAAGCGGGTTTGACCAGTTTTTGTGCACCGAAATCGCTTGAAGACACACATTTGCGTATAGTTTCCAAGGAAAGAAAGCAGCAAAGTGAATTATTTGTTCTTTATTCAGATTTTGTTTTGGTCAGTTCGCCGTTTATTCCCTCTGCATAGCTCTTTACGACCCCGCTTCACCCAAGCCTCTCACTTCCTTCGCGACGATAGTTTGCGCGCTGACGAAAATGTGAAAAATTTCGATCGGCAATTATTTGGACAATGCATTTACGTAATTGTGTTTT